AAACATTTACAGTAGAAAGCCGTGTATCCCTGAGCCTCACAAGACCTGCTTATCCTGCCACAGAGTAAAGTGTTTGGTTGTATTGATGTGGAGCCTGACTTCTGAAACCTGCAAGAGTGAAGCTTTCTTGACTCTCCGATGGTCTTCTATAAAAATCAAGATTTGTTGGCAATAGGGCAATCAGCAATAACATCTTATCTGGTGAAAAATATCGAATGGTTACCTGTTCGAACAACAACTTTGAAAAAAATGAATGATAGCGCTGCAACCGGGTAACTGATTTCCATTCAGATGGCAGCTTCAGGAATTACAATAAAGTGTGAAGCTCAGTTTAATGCTAACTCCATAAGCCAAGCAGTGGTTGCTTAATTGTGCTGGAATGGTTCCAACCTCGACTTATTTTATGTTACATAGCGTACATCAACCATAGGCGTATTTTCAGGGCACCTCTAGCTATGAGAAAGCCATGTTCATGGTGGGTTTCTGGAGTCAAGTTAGTTTATTGTTTCATTCCTTTGAGTCTGCAGCGGTCATTTCCATGTCCGCTCAACCGGCTTCACCTAATTTGTCTAGTACATGCGCGTTTACTAGATAAATTGTTTTTGAGCTTGCCCTTTGGCCTTCGCAATGCAGCACAAACATTTCAACGTTTTATTGACCAGGTACTACGTGTTCTTCCTTTCGTTTTTGCGTACCTTGACGATATTTTGGTTGCTAGTAGCACACCTAAACAACAGTTAGAGCATTTACGCAATATATTTACTCGTTTATCGGAATATGGTGTCGTAATCAAAGCTCAAAAATGTGTTTTTGCTTCTTCTTTACTATCTTCTCTCGGACATACTATTGACCACACCGGAATTAAACCGGTCGCAGATAAACTCGATGCCATCCGTAACATTCATTTTCCTTCATCTGTTAAACAAGTCAAACGTTTTTTAGGAATGAGTAATTTTTATCGTCGTCTTATCCCACACGCTGCAAAATATTTGGTACCTTTCACTAACATGCTGTCTGGTAATCCCCTCCCTAAGACATTGCATTTTGATGACACTCACAAACAGGCTTTTGAACAAATTAAATCTTTGTTAGTTGATTCTTTAAATTTTTTTCATTTACAACCTGAAGCAGTCCTGTAACAATCTGTTCGAGACGAACATGAACCGCTTAGATTCTTTTCCACGAAACTGTCACCTACAGAATCCCGCTACAGCACTTTCGGTCGAGAGTTACTCGCTATTTATTCAGCTATTCGACATTTTCGTCGTTTTCTTGAAGCTAGACAATTTATTGTTTTTACCGATCACAAACCCTTAACTTTCGCACTACTGGTCAAACCTGACAGATATTTTCCTCGTGAATTAGGTCAGCTTGACTTTACCTCACAGTTCACCAACGATATCCGTTATGTGTCAGGCCATCTCAATATCGTGGCAGACACTTTGTCTCGCCATGCAGTTGACTCTCTCCACTCAACGCCCACGATTGATTTGCAACGTATGGCTCAGCTACAGCGGAACGAGCCTATTCTTTCGCCGTCAAGCGACAAACCGTTTCCCTTACACGTTAAGCCAGTACCATTACAAATAGCACCAGGTACCATAGACGGCGATATCTCTACACCCACTGCAAGGCCTGTAGTCCCACATGCAATGCGCCGCCAGGTTTTCGATGCTCTGCACAACGTTTCGCACCCTGGTATACGTTCGACGGTCAACCTCGTTTCACAACGTTATGTATGGCCGAATATGAACAAAGACATTCGTTCGTGGGCAAAACTTGCCTAGCTTGTCAGCGTTCAAAAGTGATTCGCCATACCCATTCACCCATCGGTACCTTCGCCACACCATACGGTCGATTCGACGACGTCCACACAGATACGGTCGGTCCTCTCCCGATACCCAATTCATTCTCCTACCTCCTTACTTGTGTCGATCGTTTTACGCGGTGGCCCCAAGCCAGCCCAATACCTGACACTTCCGCAGATACCATCGCTCGCGCATTAATCAATGGATGGATTTCCATCTCGGAGTACCTTCTTTTATAACTGCGGATCGTGGCTCCCAGTTCGAATCACAGTTGTTCCAACATTTGACAGAATTGCTTGGATGCAAACGCATCCGGACCACTGCATGTCATCCACAAGCAAACGGTTTAGTCAAACGCTTTCATCGACACCTAAAGACTGCTCTCCGCGCTCAAGACAACCCATTAAACTGGTCTGACCAATTGCCTATTATACTTCTACATTTACGCACACTGCATTGCTCACTGCATTGTTCACCTGCTGAATTAATCTTCGGAACGACTCTCCGTATTCCAGGACAATTTTTCAATTCAGATCCACATACTCCTAGCGACCCGGTCATTACGTAACTAACTTGGAATCTTACATGTCACACCCACGCTATTTTTCACCACCAACATCAAGCAAACCGTCTTATACCGCCCCTGGCCTCGCAACTTGTCCGTGTGTGTTTATACGTTCCGATCGTGTTAGACCACCCCTTCAGCCACCATATGCTGTTCTTTTGCGTGTTCTTTTGCGGAGTGACAAATATTTTACTGTTCACTTACATGGTAAGCAGGAAAACATTTTTATTGATCGCTTGAAACCTGCTTATCTCGACTTCCTTGAGTCAAATGTCCCTGACGGTCCACAACCCAAAGTGCCCATCGATAACACAGCAGGTACGTCTCCCAAATCTACAAGCGACCGCCCTGCACAAACCCACCACATCACCCGTTCGGGCAGAGGCGTACACTGGCCAAACCGTCTCATCGCAAGTTGACATCAACTATTTCATCACAATTTGACACACCGAACGTCGAAGCACCATGTTTCTATTTTTGTTGTTCCTTTTCGTTAGGGGGAGAGTATTTGTAGTGGGCATTTTCATGTCTCCTCAACCGGCTCCACCTAATTTGACTATTACTTGCGTGTTTACTAGATCCTGCGGCTGACCTGCTATACAAGCCAGTTCCTGTCTAGTACGCATCGGAACGATTCATGTTTTATACACATGTCAAACTCTGCTATATAAGGACAGGACACAATCAAACACACACACCCCCACGCATCACTCGCGCGTCGAAACACAGACCGGCTCGACCCAACAACAACCGCGGACAACTAGGAACGTGTAGCAGTGAATCTGCCAAAAGAAACACGATTACCTGCGCCCAAAAGCAACTAGGTAGAACTATTGCAGCTTCCACTCAGAACGATAAGTCCTTCATTTGTACATTCCTATTTTTTGGTATTTTACTCGATTAAATTAAGGTGTTTTAACCTCACACTCTTAGAACAAATTTTATTAGTGTCGCTTTCAAGCCTTCTGACTTATCAAGTGGCTTTTGTTGTTAACAATAGAGAACACTAATAAGTCCAGGAGCACCGGCTATCGTATGTTGGGCTGTTCTTCTGATACTCAGTCAAACAAGCTGTTTGTGGCTGCCGTGAGCTAATTCCTATTTTTCTTGAAAAAATAACTTAGCCTTGATTCGAAAAACTTTCTCAAGCTGTCCGTCTATCAGGTATATTTATCACAGCATACGTGATGGATGACTACGTGTTTACAAACCTATGATATATAGAAAAATATATAGTTGCAAATTTTTTGCGTTTTCCCAGCTCATAGTCAATAAAATATATTACTGGTCTCAGCTCAACAGATACTTGAACCTTCCGGTTTTTTAGCAACGTCAGTTTTGAAGAAGTAAAATGGTTTTCACTTATGTAATCGATTGTACGTGGAATTCTGAAACGGACTTGGTCATTTACGAACAACGTGTCGGTATCGCAGAATAATTTTTGGCAGCGGTAATTGTACTCTTGACGCTTGATATCAAATTCATTGCAATTTTAGATTGAACAGTGGACATTAAAACGTGCAACCTCCCTTCCTTTGTGAACAATTCACATTTGTCGAATTCCTCTTCTCTCTGGCTTGGATGACAATGATTCACGGATTCACGGATTGATGCACGGGATCAAGGCTTTTGTCAGAATTTCCCGGGTCGGTTTTGTTCTTGTCGATCACTGGCTGTCGTTCGCCTGAAAGGAACAGGTGGAAAAAGGGTGCAGCACCTCTCTTTATGTTCTCAGCGCGGGGCAGTATGTTTGCCAGCGCGAAGATTCACATAAATAAATGTCTAATAGTGCTTTAAACTGGGTTCTAGAAGGAGCGTAGACAACCGCCGGGGGAAAGTCATTCCACGCAGCTACTACCCGAAATGAGAAAAACATTTTGTCAAATGAATGTGTGCTTTGAGCTTGAAAATTTTATTACTATGTCACCGCCGTGTGTTTTCTGGGTCAACGGTGGAAAACCTGTTTGCCAAGCTTTGTTTAAGCAGGGCATAGGTAAGAAATAGGTCCCGTCGGAGGCGACGGTACTCCAGGGGAAGAGAGCAAGCATCGTGAGACGCGTTTCGTGGTCCACGGATATGAGGCCGGCAACCATTCTCGTAGCGGCTCGCTGGACACCCTCAATGAGGGTGACGTCTTTCGTGCATCTTGAGTAAACAGCTTGGTTGGCATATTCCGGTAGCGGTCTGACGTAGGTCCACAGAGTATTTGGAAGTCCATGCGAGCAATACGGGAAAAGGTGCGTTGGATTGTCCGTAGAATAGTGAATGCCGTTTGGGCTGATTTTTCACGTTGCAGTGAGAAGGACAAATCTGAGGAGACCCAGATACTCAGATCCTTTTTGGAACCTATCCTCATGATGGTTTCTGGTCCTTTCCATGCATAACGAAGGCATTCGCTGAGTCTCCTTCAATAGATATATGGACAGACTTCGTCATTCAGAACAAGGTGCCAGTTCAACGGCTACTACTTGGCAGCGTCTACATCCATTTACAGCGCGCTGGCATTGGAACTCCAGGATTTCAATTCGTCCGCGAAAAGTAGACGTGGACCTGCAAGAACATCTGGAGGGTTGTTGACGCAGATAAGAACCAGCGCTTGTCCCAGGACGGAACCTTGAGGAACTTCAATGGAGACCGGCGATATAGAAGAGTAGGTCGAGCTTACTCTCACACAGATTGATCTGTCTGATAGGAACGCCTCGATCCAGTGTAAGATTTTCCCTTGAATCCCATAAAACTCGTGTTTGTGGAGCAGCGGGACGTATGGGACCCTATCAAATGCTTTTGAGAAGTCGAAAAATATGGCATCCGATATGGGTCCTTCGTCCTTGGCTTGGTTCAATTTGTCCATAAACATGAGCATGTTTGTCACGCAAGAGCGGTTCGGAAAAAATCCGTGTTGAGCTGGAGATATCAGGTTGCTGGAAGTAAGGTGACCTAGGATAGCTCACTTGGGAAGGCGTTCCATCGCCTTGCACGGCACGCTGGTGAGGCTTACAGACCTGTAGCTCCCAGGCGATAGCCGGTCACCAGTTTTGCAGATTTACGTGACAATCATTTCGTTCCAAGCAGAGGGAAGGCGGCCTTCGTCACGCGACTGACGAAGCACGAGCTGTAGATGATTTGCCAACGTGGAGGACGTTTCTTTCAGGATACTTGAATGGACCCCGTCGGGCCCCAAAGCGCAGAATGAGTTGATCTTGTGCAAAAGTTGACAAATGTCCACCATCGTGAAGATCAAGTCGGTTAGAGGCTGTACGTAGTTTTGCCTGGACGAAAGTTATGTGGCGAGGATGCTGGGGCTGGGTATAGGCACACATAGTGTTTTCTGTAAACCTCAGATATCACCGTTGAGTCACTCTTTGGTTCTCTGTTTCTTTCCCTCAAGGAGAACGCGGATGGCATGTTTCTGCGGCGATGCCTTGCCTATTTGAACAATACGTTTTTATTTTTTGAACGAGGTCCAGGATGGTGGCCTGTTTTCGTGTGTTCCATTGATGGATTTCTAAGTTACAGCGGTTCCGCATTTGACGAAATGTCAGCTCATTTTCTGTATGCCCTGTAGTTAACTTTTTGGAAAAAAAGTTGGGAACTTTTTCCAGAAGTTGCCAAACCCTTTTTGGCAGTTTGTGGCCCTCCCTCGTTTTGAGTCAGCCCGGAAAAAAGAGTAACCGTCTATGGAGATCTCCGCGTCGGAGACATCTGGTGTGATCCAGGTCTCTTTGGGTGCGATTATGGCGGTTATTCAAGGCAAGTTGATTGCTTAACATCGCCAAATTTGTTGAAAAGGCTGGGGCAGTTTGTGGACGAGCATTTCAACACTCTCTGCAACATCCGAGGGTAATGAGCCGGAAGTTGAGTGACCGGGGAGGCTAGCAGAGTTAATAGTTGTGCGCCGAATTTGAGTCCAAGGCTCCAAAGGGGCCTCTGGAGCAATATCGTCTGCTTCCTGTCTTCGTGCATTCTGTGTTTGCTTTTCGCTTGCAAGATTGTTTTTCGCCCCTTGAGAGCCCGGTTTGCTCGGGCCTTTTAGCTTTAGGGGACGGAGGTTTTTCTCCCAAGGGCGAAAATTTGGGCCATTGCTGCTTTTAGCTGTTTCAACACCGCCTTTTTGGCGACCAGATTTGTTGATGCTCAAAGAGCTGCGGCAAAATTCGCCTTCCGGGATTCTTGGATGTTTTGGCGAAGTTTGACCGGAAAAGTGTCTCTCTGAGGCCCTGAGCGCTGGGTGGCGGCACCAAGAACTAATGCTTTTGGTGGCGCTCCCAAGAGACTCGTTTTCGTGGAGGACTGCAATTGAAGCCAGCCAGCATTTTCCTAATCTGGCGAATTTTATGTGGCTTGTTTGTCTGCAGTCGCTTCTCCTTCATGTTTGTGTGGACACCCGATACCCCGGCGATCAGTGTGGCCAACTGGATTTACGAGGGGTTTTCCGGTTTGTTGTAGTCACGTTTATGGCTCTGGTTGTCGGGGTCCTGGGTGACGGTTGTGTCCCCAAGCAGAGAGGCCGCTTTTGACGCAGTGGGGCTGAAAATTGGCTTCGCAGCTTGTTCCCACACATCCGGCTGAGTCCAGTTCCGAGGCTGTAACTTTGGTGAGGAGTACATGGCTGCACCTGTGTTGTCTGTTACGGAGATGAGCGTCGATAGCTCTACGCACTTTGGGCGCTGCTTGCATGTGAGGTTTGCCCCCTCCAGGGCATCACTTCCTTTGGTGGGCGAGGGGCCTGTGGTGGTCGAATAAATGCTGCTGTCCGGAGACGCGGCTGGTTTTGTCGGCCTTCTTTCAAGAGCACAAGGGGCTATGACAACGATAGGCTTGGCCCTGATTTTGGGGTCAGTTCAACCCACCGGTAGCCTGTTTCGTGCCTACACCCCTGACCTGTTGTGACCAAGCTTTCGCGCGTCTGAAGGGCGATCCTCAGATAGACGCCTGTTCATTGGATTGGCCCTTTGAATGTTACCAGCCCGCTCCAAGATCCTCTGTAAGGCAGATGGGAAGGAAAGGGTGACTAGAAGCCCAAGAGTTCGCTTGCTTCCCTTCCGGTGTAATCATTCTGCGTGGAGCGATTGATCAGGCTTGATAAGGACACTGCTAAGGACCGATTGTGCTCCAATTTCGCGCCGAGTATCCCAATCAAAGCTGAGCACTGACATGGGTCTTTCTGATTCTGCAGTGGGGATTGAGTACTGCTTTTGGGGGCTCTCCTCTCGCTTGCGGTATGCATGTGGCGCAGACAAACGGGAGAGAAGAGTTTGCTGATCGGCTTATCTGATCGTCCTGTAAAACCGTGCATTTGAAGTGCCACCAGGCCTTGCAGGTGTGACATTACATACCGCGTTTGACGTTCGACGGGCAGTCATTTGGCCCATATCTGTTGTGGTCTATCAATGGCTATAGAGGGCGATCGGTATAAATTGATTTCATGTTCAAGACTATATGCGAAACAGAAAGTGTGCGCAAAATGACAAGATTTATCTCTCGAATGTTTTGTTAGAGTAATAAAATAGAACAATGGCTCGTGCGCACTCTGTGAATAGATTGAACGACGAAAAAATTCTTTCGCAAATTTGCACGGGGGAGAAACGAAACCGATTTTGAACGTACCGCGCACAACTATTGTCACAAAATGTTTGAAATTTTGTGACTGTTTTCCTCCAGTTCCCCAAAAATTGGCAAATAACTGTCGACAGTCGTTTATCTAGTTTACTGAAGCAGTATGCTTTGGTTCTATCTAAAAAAGCATGGTAGCCTAGCACAACAAGCAACAGAGACTAAAAAATTACACTTAGTTTCCAACCGATTTCTGAACGACCTGCAATGATAGTGATACGATAATAAACAAACATATATTAGAAACACAAGTAAGGTTGACGGACTCAGTAAGCTCATGACAACTGCTAAAATGAAAGCTTAAGAAGCCCAGCTGTGATGATTGCGCATAGCCGATCATAAATTTTATTATAATGATGTTTAATCCACACTGTTTATCATTGCAGTTCTTCAGTACTTCTTGAGGAACAAACTCAAATACTGGGTCACTCACTCAAGCAACAGTTGAAAATTTTCGCCACATTACGTTTGATGCCCTTAACTATTTCAGTCGACAAGGCACAGAACGCGTTCTTGGCAATTTGTCAAAAATTTGTCATAAAAATTTATGTAAACATTCCGAACGACTTGAGTGGCAACACCAGGTTTGCTTTCGCTGACGTTAACACTTGGAATCCGGTGAGCAGCCCACAATTGGCGATGCTAACATGGCTCATGTAAACTGTTTTGTCTGCACCTATTTTGGGCCGCTACTTTATTTGGGCGGCTCACTAGAGATGGGCCAGACCTTCAAGTACATGGTTGTTGGATCCGAGGTCTCAGCCTTCAGTAGTGTAGGTGGCAACTGCACCCCCAATTAGGCTGAGTGATTTCTTATTCAGTTTTCATACGAAAAAATGCAGACCGGTTCCGCCACTTTTCATGGCTTGATCGTTCAAAACGGCGGGTCACGTGGATAACCTTGAAAACTCACGCACCCATTAACCATAACACCATTAACACTTCAAAAGCGGCAACGTGCTTTTGGTTTTACCAGGTTAAGAATGGAAATCGATTTACGTACGTCCAACTTGGGAGTTTGTTGTCGACATTCGTCCAGACCGTTTAGTCAATAATGTTTCCGTCCTCTAACGCCTTATAAAGAAATAGCAAAGTTCCCTCGGGTGCTCCACTCAGAAGGAACATTAGCCTCCGTTTTCATTTCGCCTCCAGAATTCGCAGTTGACCTGTCATCAGCATAATCTCTGGCTGGAGCAGGAAACTGGGTGACGAAAGTTTGACAATCACCCTCCCTGGTCACCTCGCAATCCAAAACACTAAGGGCACAATCAAACCAAACAAGCTTTACACCGATTCATATACTTGACGTCCAAAGGATAACTGCCTAGCCCGTATTTATTTGAATTCTGAGGCGGTCTTTCTGTGGAAGAGTCCCATAAGGCACGGCCTAATTTGTGACCCAGAATGTCCGACACTTGCAACCTGACCGAAAACTCCCCTGCCTGGGAGTTACACTCCACTCAGCTGACACGCGTTAAATTCATAAATAGGTGAATTGGTTACCAAGTAGGCACGGGTGAAAGAAGGGGGCTATTTCAAAAGTACTCTAAATCTAATAGAAACTCGGTGCCCACATTTTTGATCAACGACCACCAATGGGTGCTGCTGATATAAGCCTCAAAGCTCTTGACAGTGCCATCATGACGACATCCAAACAAAAGCACGTAGAACGACTATCTTGAAATATACCGCCCCAAACTCATGACCAAGCCGATTGTGGTCATATCCCCCTGTGCTCCCGAAAGCAGGCCGATGAAACCAGCTGGTTCTCCGGACAGCAGTTTTTATTCGACCACCACAGGCCTCTCGCCCACCAAAGGCAGGGACGCCCTGGAGGAGACAAATCCCACATGCAAGCAGCGCCCAAACTACGTGGAGCTATCAACGCTTATCTCCGTATCACAGGGCACAGCTGCAGCCGCGCACTCGTCAACAAAGTCACAGCCCCTGAACTGGACTGAGTCAGATGTGCGGGGAAAAGGAGCGAAGCCAATCTCTAGCTCCACTCCATCAAAAGCGGCCTCTTTCACTGTGCACACAGGTGCCGCCCAGGACCCCAACAACCAACTCCACAATCCTGACAACAGTGAAACCCATTTGGCCACCCTGATCGCGGTCGACTCGAGTGTCCACACAAACACGAAAGAAAGGCGACTGTAGCCAAATAACCATATAAGATTCGCCAACTCAAAGAACTTATGGCCGTCCTCGATGTGTGGTCCTCTTCCAAAACCAACCACATTTAACGCACCAAAAGAACCACTTCTCGGTTCTGCCACCCAGTGCATAGGAACTCACAGAGACACCTTTTCGATCAAACCGCGTCAAAGTGCTCAAGAAACAGAACAGATGGAGCTTTGCCCCAAAGCGTTCAACACCAAATCTGGCCGTCCAAAAAGCGATATTGAATGAGCTGCAAGCAGCGGTCACCGACATTTTCGTTAACTGGGAAACACTTCGTCCATCAAAGGTAAAAGACCGGCGCCGGCCGGGATCCCATGGGGCGAAAAATAACCCACAAGTGAAAAGCAGCCCGCGAGACCACCAAGACGGGTAGGGGAAAAATATGCCCTTTTGGAGCTTTGGACTCAAACCGGCCGTACAGCTATTAAGTCTGATAACTTCCCTGGTTAAAAATCTCTCGACTCCTCACCTACAGAGGCAGCATAGACATTGTTTGATTGCTTGTGTACAAACCGCCTCAGCCTGTTTAACAACCGTCCATAATCACACTCACGCAGATCTGGTCCACACCGTACGTCCCTGATGCGGAGATATCAACGGACGACTACTATGTTTTTGGGCTGACGCAAAACGAGAGAGGGCTTGTGAGGCTGCTTTTTACTTACGTGCGGCCACGCCCATTCAAGTTGTCCTGCCAGATACCACTCATGCACCTTTTCGCGATGCGCGGTCAGATTCCCTTTTTCTCGGTCTACCGTTGTACCTTGAGTCCTCCTGAAGTTGAACATATCCTCACACGAACATGAGAAACTTTTCTCCAGCCAACAGTTCACTCACCTCCTGCGGGTAGAGGACTTTGACGCTCCCAAGGCCTCCTTGATAGAGCTCCAGCGCGTCGGACCAAGTGGACTTTCTGCAGCGGCATTGACCAGTCATTCATCAGAGCGCTTGGACTAATCATGTCAATGCACCCATCAGATACCGCTCAGGCCTACATCCATCCCTCCTGGACTTAGTCATCACCAACAAAGGGCACTACGTCGATCAGGTGATATATAACGCACCACAGGGACATGCCCTGTTTGAACAAGATTTTGGCAACATGTTTTTTACCGTTGACCCAGCAATCACACAGCAGAGACATGATAAGAAGCTTTTTAAGCTCGGAGTGCACACTTTCATTAGGTAATTTTTCTCATTTCGAGTAATAGCTGTGTGGAATAACCTTTCTCTGAGGGCTGTTCACGCTTCATCTGAAACCTATACAAAGCACTGTTAGACACTTATTTATGCGAGTCCTCGGGCTGGCAAGCCTACTGACACGTACTGGCAACTTAAAGAGCAGTGCTAAGCCCTTGTTGTTTGTGCCTTTCAGGTTAACGACGACCGCTAAACGAAGATAACAAACTGGACCAGGAAAACTCGGGAAAAAGCCTTGTTCCTGTGCATTAATCCCTGAAGAAGTGGTTTACAGTGTGCCGCGTAGAGCATCAGTCCATGCGGGTAAAACGGACGAAGATGCTCCGAATACAGTTTGAGCCTATTTTTATGATGCACTGGAGCCAGACGCCCAAGACCACTTTGACATCTATCCTCATAACGTCCTGTTGTTCATTCTCACCATTCAAGACGAAGGCACGGTAGTAGCTGCGTGGAATGACCTTCCTCCGACGGTTGTACACGCTCCTTCTCGAACCCAATTCAAAGCACTATTAGACATTTATTTATGCGAATCCTCGCGCTGGCGAGCATACTGCCCCGCGCTGAGAACATAAAGAGCAGTGCTACACCCTTTTTTCACTTGTGCCTTTCAGGTGAACGACAGCCACTGACCGACAAGAACAAAACCGACCCGGGAAACTTGGGCAAAAGCCTCGATCCTGTGTATCAATCCGTGAATCCGTGACCACATGGCTATCTGGAGTAGATGCCTCGGATTAAAATGTGTGAGCCCTCTCGTTTTCGCCACTAGAAATAAGAACCTATCCATTACTACGACCGCTGTTGCTCCAGAATATCCGGTAGGCTCCCGCACTCCATATTTGAACTACCGGTTTTGTTTTAATTGCTAACGCGGTATCGTTTTCTGGTTTTGAATAGTACGGATAAGTCTTCACATTCAAATAGTGAGTTCACGCGGCAATTCAACTTGTCCCCTTATTGCGTCCCTCAACTCGTGCAGGGCCGCTCCTTTTTAGCTTCCGAGCTACCCACTGACCCTTAAACATTGACAATGTGATTTCCTTTCCGTATCCTAGCGCTAAGTTTCCGTGGACCGTTCCAGTTGTCTCATGACACAGGCACCAGTAAGCGTGAAATTGAACATACCGTCGAAAGTAAATATGGCGGGACGCCCAGGAGTCGTTCAAATCCTGCACACTAACCCCATGCCCGGGCAGGAGTTACTGCCGCAGACTACACCCACCTTCAAGGCATTTGCAAACGTCCGACCCCTTATTACCAACGCGACACCAATGGCGGCTGTAAATACAAATACCGCTGTTCAGTATGTTCGGAAACAGCCTGAGGTGACAGGTAAGCTTCTTGGTTAGTTTATTTAATTAGGTGTACACACCGTGCGATGTCCACGTTTTTTATCTTGGCGTATAGAAGTGTACTAGCATATATGCTTATATAAGCATGCTTACGCTAGTAAATCTGGGCTGCGACACGACTGTACGTAGTTCCCCTGGAGACGATTCCATAGATCTTCTCTTTTATGATAAATCCAGCAGTCCTTATGTCGTATATATGGAGACTGGTCTGTTGAATTTGTGTACTACTGGGACTCCTAAGTATCCGTAAGTACAAGAGAGCTTCACTCAAAACTTCTAAATTGGACTGAAGCAGAGGAAGTAGTGCGCCTAAGATTCCAATCATGTCCTTCCGGAATTTTAGTGCCAACCGAACACGAAGCTACTGGAGTGCGAGTGACCGATTCCGATTTAAACACTAGTTGCCCGGAAGGTCAGTCTCATATGCTTTACCTGCTGTACCCTCGGGCTAGGTTAACCATGCCGAACTATTTTGCTCGAGCTACGGGTCTCGGGTGGGTCTCCTGAGAAACCCCATACCCTCGCTGTCTTACGGGTGACGTGCATGAGCTGAAGGCTATTATCCCTGGACAGAACCTTACGTTTTTCGACGGACACGCAGTTGATACTTTTGGGTTGACGGCCCGATGTTTGGTACCTCGAACAATCTCATTCGGTCTTCACAGCACTGAAGTGTTGATTGTTGTAACTAAACTAACCTCAGACCTCATGCTCTCTTCGGGTGGCCTGACCGCTGTGCACCGAAAGTGTTACATATTAGGGGTTATTAGTTACTCTGTTAATGTGTGCTAGCCATGGTGGCATTAGCCTCAAGCTATTCTCTGTTCTCACTTAACAGACGGGAGTGTAATGCTAGGACATTCAGTGATCAGCGATTGTCATCTCTCCCGACTTGACTAACTTTGACCCTGGTAACCGTCAGACACTACGAAAGGTGCTTTTGTAAGTTCTTTACACACAGTGATGTCGGGCAACCGGTCTGTTCTGCTTCAGATTTATTGTCCATGGTTTGGTGAAGCAGCCCCTCCCTGCTCCTAAAGCTTGCCGGATCGAGCCCCCCTTGATCATCAACCTATAGTAACGAAGCACACTGACGCAATGTCCTTACTACTGACATCGATTAACCGCCATTTCTTACGTCTCCAACCAAGCACAGGCGGGGACCCCATCCTGGAAGGCGAGATGGCTAAAGTGGCTAGAGCGCGGATTTACTGACCGGAAGGTCCGTGGTTTGAACCCGACCTCTGCCTCTCGACCCCCCTGTCTAGGCGTGGACAACCTGACAGTATCCCAACCCTCGTGCTTTCTTCAGGTAGCATGGCAGCTGGGCACCAGAAGGGTGTTACGGTTGGACGATTATTTTTTTACAATACCAACAACACCCAAGCTCTTCGTGATCTGTTTCACGCCTCTCTACCAAGTCATGCGCTGTCCAGTTCGTGGTCTGCGCCGACCTGAAGGAGGCGCGGAGAACAACACTGCTATCCGTAGACGGCATGCGTAGCACATGACCGAGCCACCGTAGTCGATGATGCTGGATGTTTTCCCGGATGAAGTACCTATAACAACCAAATACCCGATTTCTAATCACGTCGTTACTAACACGCTGATGCCATCCAAAGCCAGCTACGCTTCTGAGGCATCGGTGGTCGAAAACCTGAAGACGTCTCACGTCTCTCACCCATACAACAACACAGTCCTTAGTGTAGCCTAGGAAATACGACCCTTGAGATCTAGTGAGATACCTTTTTGACCCTTAAGGGACGCAAATTAGCAAACGTGATTCGGGCCTGTGAGATTGTTGCACTGACTTCATCAGACGCACTTTCGTCAGGGCTCATACAACTGCCGGAATATGTGGAGTTTTCCACAATCTCCAATGATTCTCCTTGAATAGTAAGGGATACGTTCGAAGACTGCACGTTATGAAGCATGACTTTGCACTTTGAAGGTGCAAGGCGCATGCCAAACAGGGCTTTTGCTTCACTTTGGTCATCAAAGATGAGGGCGATGTCATCTGTGTACTCCAAATCGACAAGGCTCTTACCAGCAGCAATTTGAACACCGGGGTTTTGAAGACCGTCCAGTGTTTGCCTCATGGCTTCACCAGTGACGAAGTTGAACAAGAATGGAGAGAGTGGACATCCTTGTCTGACACCATCTTTTGTAGGGAAGCTTTTGGAGAGCTCACCATACACTCACCCGCCCAGAAGTATGTGAATATAGGGATCGGATTGTGTTTACGAACTTCTAGGGCATACCCTGTTGAGCAAGTGCAGTTAGCACTGATCGATCGACAGAATCAAACGCACCCTTCAAGGCAAGGACTACTAGGATTGTGGGTCGTATGTACATATGTCGTTACTCTAACACCTCACGGAGTGTGAAGATGTGGTCAACGCGGCCCTCACCCGGTCGAAATCCAGCTTGATTCTCACGAGTCAAGTCTTCGCGAGCCACCGTGAGACGACGAAGAATCATGAAGCCAGAAGCCTCGTTACAACAAGCGTCAAACTAACACCTCTGTGGTTACTACGTTTACTGTGAGTGCCCTTTTTGAAAATGGGCACTACTATCGAATCACCCCAGCTGTCTAGGACGATCTCCCTCTCAGATAGACCTAAATAGGCTAGACAGGCGCTGGCTGAGTCCATCGCCATCCTCGAAAATAGCAGGTGAAAGGTCGTCAGGACCAGCAGCACGATTATGTTTGAGCAGTGAAGCATCGGTGTTGAACACTGGTGTCATGCTGTCGATGATGTTTGAGTAGAGAAATACACCCGGACACTCCAGAAACTAAAGGCGGCTCCATATTTGCGGTCCACCTTTCTGTTGAATGCCAGGATTCCAGATTGGAGGTGACAGGTGGCCAGCTGAATTGCTGCTCGAAGTACTGTGCCCAGCGGTCCAAACGTTCTGCTCTGTTACATATCAGAGCCAGCTAGGTCCCTGATTATTTCGCTGACAAGAGGTTTCCGAGGACCAGTCGAACGAATCAAGTGGAACAGCTTGCTCATGCTTCCAGCATTCTTGATTTATTCCATTTCTTCGGCCTTCCGGGTCCACCATGCTTCTCGGTCTGCTCGGACACTCAGTTTCACCTGGCGTCGGATGATGCTCCGGGTGGAGTTGTGGTGGCGGCCAGGGGGAATCTGTCGCCGGGTCTCCAGCAAAGACGTGTTCCTATCAGAGATCCAATGTTTAGATGAGGTTGGCTGGGTTGTACCGCAAACAGACGCTCCTGCTTTGAGAAGCGCCTTGGGTATTTTTTCCTAGTAACCGAGATGGCCCAAGTGGTTAGAGCGCGAATTTACTGACCGGAAGGTCCGTGGTTCGAATCCGACCCCCGCCACTCGACTTCCTTTGTCTATGCTTGGGCAACCTGGCAGTATCCCAGCCCTCGTGCTTCCTTCGGGTGGCATGGCAGCTAGGCACCGGAAGGGCGCTACAGCTGAACGCTTTCTTTCTTTTACCGCAAGCAGACAATTCGGCTTTGCGTACCGCTTTGGATATTTTATCCTAGTGGCCGTTTATCGCTGACACCGAACCGTCCGACAGGCATTCAAGGAGCTGGGTCCACTAGCTTCTCAATGGCTAAGCGAGGTGTGCGCGATTTGCGTACACCTGAAAAGCGCAACGAAAAGCAGCAGCGTACAAGTGCATGGTCGAAGTCCACGCTGGTGTTCCAGAAAGAGCGGTAGGCGATGATCGATCCTCACCACCGATAACTGACGACGATGTGGTTTATTTGGATTCGGGGCTGGTTTGTTGGTGGGCACCACGTTGTCAAGCGATTTCCGCTTTTCGGGAAATTCGTACTGCAAAGAAACAGTCCGTGATCGGCACACATCTGAAGTAATTGGTTTCCGTTGTTCGTGCGTCTTGTTTTCAAACCAAGAAGACCACCCAATCGAGCCTCAGCAGCGCTTAATCTACCTACCTGGGCGTTCATATCACCGGCAACCACGATATCTGAGCTTTTAGCCTGCTGTAGAAGGGCACCTAGAGCGTCACAGAAACTCCTTGGCAGATTCAGAGCTACAGTCACTTGGGGCGTAAGCATAAACAAACCTCACTTCATCTAGATTCTCTCAGATGTTGCCAAACGAACTGCACAAAGGCGACTATCAACGGGTATCCAATCAAGCACAGACGATTCCGTTCGTTTGCCCATTACAGTACCAACCCCAGAAGTGCGCGGCCGGAACCTGGAAAAGAGCGGGGGGGGGCAGTCAGTTCGATCACAGTATTTGCGTCCTGCAGACAGCGTTCCTGACAGACAACATACATCAATCCAGAGAGAATCCAGTGTACGGGCGAGAGCCACCTGTTGACCTACTTGCTTCAGTGTGCGAACATTGAAGGTAGCTAAGTAGACATGCTTCCGGGGTTTGAAAACAGACTTTGAAGTGTTTAGGGTTGTTACTGAACTCAGACGTACAGAAGTTGCAGCTGAGTGTGATGCACGGCAAGCAAAACGGTCAGTCCTAGAACTGGGACCTTCGGAGGAAGTAGTCAAATTTGGGCGAGTGAGGTTGGAAGACCGAGAACGTGAAGATGTATGAAGGGAGGCGTCAGCAGTAGCATGCTTTCGCTTACCCACCCTGCTGTATGCAGCAAGTAAGGTGACCCGGCTCATGACACCACGCGACGGCCGATGTGGTATAAGTATTGTTAGTCCTGAATGTCATGGTTGTACGAGAGCTGGGATACTTCTAGGGCGCCCACACCTAGACAGGAGGACGATTAGAGTCCTCAACCAAAGCCCCTGGCTCAAAAGCCTAGCCGTAAGGCAGTGGTTTTTGTCGGGAAATGCTAGTATATTAGCGTTTTTACGGAACACGTTCCAACCCCCAGGACCAGGAGACTGTTCGTCAGACTTCTACCCATGGACCAACCTGAGTGTCGCCTTGATTAATACCGCGCGGCACTAGGATGTTCACATTAGAAGAGATTCACTATCACTCTATTAATCGTTCT